ATCAATTACTAAAAATTATAAAATCCATTTGTTTTGCAGTTGTGATTTTGGTGTTTTGATTTGTTGCTTTGTGGGTGGGGTTGGTTTCAGAAGATGAAGAGGAGTCATAGAAATATGAACAGGCTGGATTATAGTGTGTCTCCACAATATTTACAGCAGAAAAACAAAGTTATATCTAAAAGTTATAGGGAAAAATATTCTGATGCCTTTCTAAATTTGCCTGTATTTGATTCTACTTGTTTGATTTTTCCCTTGTAGATTTTGTGATGCCAGAACATATCTGAGGGAACGAAGTGGTGTTGAAAGACAGAAAAAATGTACCAAAGGAAGAGGTGATACAATACTTTTCAGAATATAGTATAAATGTGTCAAAACTCACCAAAATCAAAGATTTTCCACAAGGAATTTTTACGTAACTTTAGAACATACTAAGTATGTATTGTGAAGTGTGGTGTTTTGCCTACAATATATTTTTAGTGTAGTAGGAAGCTCAGAATAGCAGTAGAATGAAAACACAGGGAGCAGAAAAGAAAATTATGATTATTTATTTATTTGTTTATTTTGAGGAAGATTAGCCCTGAGCTAACTACTGCCAATCCTCCTCTTTTTGCTGAGGAAGATTGGCCCTGAGCTAACATCCATGACCATCTTCCTCTACTTTATACATGGGACGCCTACTACAGCATGGCTTTGGCCAAGTGGTGCCATGTCCGCACCCGGGTTCCAAACTGGCGAACCCCGGGCCACTGAGAAGCAGAATGTGCGAACTTAACCGCTGCGCCACTGGGCTGGCCCCAGAAAATTATAATTATTAATGGTTAGTGCAGAAAATGGATGATTCACACATGAATAACTAAGAAGTATAACCATATTTAACATGGTTCTAATATATTATCTTCTTACCAGGTAATAATCTGGCTCTACGTAGCAACTATTTTTCTGAAGTAAGGCCAGTTCATTTCAATGGTAACGGTGAGAGTGATATGCCTTCCAACTTTCTGTGTCCCTTAATGAGGTGCTTCAGAAGTGTGGTTTTCTATGTAGTTTTCTTTGTTATTTTATGAAAAGAGAACCTTCTAACAAAGTACCAAACATAAATCAAGGGCGTAAAAGAAACAATGCTGTAGATTAGTGTCTTGGCTGAGGGCATTTTATGTTACACCAAAACACAGAAGTCTGAGGTCGAAATGTTTAGTTACAACTTCACTCAATTTAGAGAAACTCACACCCATTGGTTTGCTGGTTGGATTAAATGCCAGATACAACAAAACACAGTTTGCTCCTCTGCAACATCGAGAGGTGTCTCTCTGAGTTCATTTCTTCTGCTTGAAGTAAATGAGATGTCCCCATACAACACATGTGCATCAGATCACCCCACACTGCTCCTCCAAGGATTTTTAGTGGAACTGCCTATCACTTAGAAGTGACGGGAAAGCACGGGGATACTTGTATTATATAATTCTCTACAATTTTTCATTTAACAAGGGCCTCTAAAGTTTTTACTTTGATTTTTTTTATGGTCCACATTTAAATAAAATTGTATTTGTAGGGGAAGGATACTGATTGAATGGTTAATTATCGTTGCTTCTAGTGATGGAATTTTGTATTATTTAAAATCTGTATGCCATTTTATGTTGCTTGGAATTTGTATGTATTATTTTTATAATTAAAAAATTAAATAAAGCTATTTCATTATGAGAAAACAGCTCAGGGTATCCTTTGAGGCCTACTTTACGCGTACATTCTCCAGAAAGCTTTCTTCGATCCACTGTCCATTCTACCCTCAGACTCGAATGGGAGCCCTGCCTGCTTTATACTCTTGGCGTCACATGGCCTTCCTCACCCTCTTAAACTTCTGGTCTTTTTTTTCTTTCTTTTTTCTTTTCCTTTGTTGCTCAGTAATTACTGAGCAAAACCAACTTTAAATAAATCAAGCTTTTTTTTCTTATGCTGAGAGTACATAGATCAATAAATGAAAAGCAAGTAGTTTACAAACATAACATTTTATTAGCAGAATAATTAGCAGTTGCAATTATGACAGTTTCTCCTTGAATTTTATATTGTATGATTGACTCATGAATTTCCCCTTTGTTTCTTCTTTATAATAATTGATTCTATTATACACTGGTAATTTTTTTTTTTTTTGAGGAAGACTAGCCCTGAGCTAACATCTGGCAATCCTCCTCTTTTTGCTGACAAAGACTGGCCCTGAGCTAACATCTGTGCCCATCTTCTTCTATTTTATACGTGGGACACCTACCACAGCATGGCTTGCCAAGCGGTGCCATGTCAGCACCCAGGATTCAAATAGGTGAACCCCAGGCCGCAGAAGCAGAAAGTATGCACTTAACTGCAGTGCCACCAGGCCAGCCCCTAATTTTTTTTGTTTTTGCTTGAGGAAGATTAGCCCTGAGCTAACATCGTCGCCAATTCTCCTGTTTTTTCTAAGGAAGATTGGCCCTGAGCTAACATCTGTGCCCATCTTCGTCTACTTTTAATATATGGGATGCCTGCCACAGCATGCTTTGATAAGCGGTGCGTAGGTTCATGCCTAGGATAGGAACCAGTGAACCCCGGGCTGCCAAAACAGAGTGCTGGAACTTAATCACTCACCACCACGCCCGCCTTATGCTAGTAATTTTGATATAAAATAATTTGAAATGCATTGGACTTAAAAGCAGGTTGCTTATTGTTTCAAAATCATTTGTATATGTATTATTTGTAATAAATCCTTAAGGTAAACACTTATACATTCAGCTATTATGAATGAAAACATTAAACTTGAAATATAGAATGTTACACTCACAATGATATGGCAGGCATCTTCAATTTAGGTGATTATACACAAACTTGATCAACTCATTAGTTGTTACTTTCTGTATTAGAATCAATTCTGAAAAACTTATATATTAATATCATTATTATTTGTAAAAATTGTGTGTTCTGCCTACATTGATCACTATTAAGAAATTACAGAGCTAGCAGGCTTTTTAAATTTATTATCACAACTTACAATTTTAAGAGCCACTGTGGCCCTTCTGTCTAATTTCTAAATTTCTATTTGCAATGGAATACAATTACACTCAAAATTCTGACTTTAAAATAAGCTTTTTCCATATATTCAATACTGTTTATACTTAGAAGCACAAGTTAGTCTTTTTATCTTAATTTAAGTCTATAACTGAAACAGACAATGCTTGTTCTATGCTCAGAGATGTGGAATTAAAGTTATCACATTTACGTGCTACGTCTGTATTGGACATAGTCTACGCCACTATTTATCAGTATTTGCATAGTTTGGCATCTTGGTCCTTACAAGACAGCAACTGCGTGATAAGATTTTACTAGTTGCTTAATTCTTCTTCTTAATATTAAGTTTCGCCCTGGGGACTATATAAAATAGCATTAATTAATAAAGGCATGAATGACGGAGAAGAAATAGTAGCTTAATAAGGAAGCAGAGTTTTCAAAAGTCTTTGGAGGAAAAATATATATTGCAAACTATTAGAATTTTGCTTGTTTCCAATTATGATTCTTTTCACTTTTCAAGAAAAATATTACAACTATTATAATACATAATTTTGTAAAAGCTACAACTTTTCTTAAAATTTTTCTTTTGTTCTAGAGCCATGGATTCATATCCACACCACATTTGAGAAAAGGAAAGAAATAAAATATATTATATAAAATGGGAGCTGTGTAAATAGTTACACAAAAATAAATAAGAGTAAACAACTTGCCAAAAAAGTAGTGGATGATTTCATAAGGAAGAGAAAAATGAGAGAAACAATCAGATATTAATCTAAAAATATATCTAAATAAAGACCAAGTATGTGATTATTATTTTGTTAATCCATAAATTCATTCTTCCATTTGCTCAAATTAACTAAGTGGTTAATATAAAGAGAACATTAGACTTGGTGCAACGTAAGTTAGCAATAAACACATCAAAATAAATAACTGCAGACTTTCTGTCCATGAACAATATACACATATCAAAAACTAAAAGGTGGTGACATATTTACAGTATATTTGCTTAAAAATTTCTAAATAAAGAAGTGATTTTTTGTTATTTATTCAAGTGAGTGGTGAGCTTCTACTGTGCACAAAACTAGTTGCTAAAAAAATTTAAAATGACCTGCCCCCCTCACCGCCATCACCGTAGAGGATGTTATTAACCAAGCTATTAATTAAAACAAATATATATATACACACACAGAGGTTTGTGTGAGAGCTTTTGCAGAGTTATGGAGTGCAATTTATGCCTTGTATGAAGTGGTGGGGTCTAAGTTGTTCAGTACAAACGTCACAAGGAATATGGTCTTGTTCGTGGGAGGATATCAACATATCGAGGACAGGAATCATGGGAGTTAATCTCTCAGGGACAGGAGTGAGGGAAGAACATGAACAAAGAATGAAAGCATGGTATGAGGCTAAATATGTCTAATGAAATAATTCATGTATTTCAGAAATAATAAAGAATCTGTGGTACACAGATTGATTTGGACCCAACTCAAACAACGGGTATGTGAAGTTAAATAGAATGATCTAAGGAACTGGACTGAGAACAATTAAGAAAGAGCTGTGTTTCACTCAAAAAATCACTTTGTTTTCATCCAGAATCACTTAAATTAACAATTATGCCAAAGTGTTTTTTGGATGTTCATCTATCAGATTTGTAAAACTTTTTGCTCTTAGAGTTTTATAAGTTGGTAAATATGCTGACAATTGGAAGAATTACTGAGTATAATTTTTTCAAATTTTACTGTATTTTAAATAACTCTAATCATCCTTTACAGATGAGTACAACATTTTGATTAAAAGATTGAGAGAGCTAATGACTTGATTACGGGAAGTTATCTGATTTACTTCATTTAACACCATTATGTATATGATATAAAATAGATCATATTTTCTACATGGCAAATCCTCAAGTGCCATCTAATTTGCATTCTTAATAATACCACAATTACAGTATGAGTAATATAAAGAATACGTACCAGAAAATTGATAGCAGATACTGTGATTTGCCTGTTTCCAAATGCTAGAAAGTAGGAAAGGAAGATGTTATGCAAACACTTATATTCTGGATTGCCACACTGTAGAAAGAATTTGGGCAAGGTTTATTGGATATCACTATCCTCGGATCAAAAGTCCTATGTGGTATGTAATTGACCTTTTGGGATGATACTTCTGCAGTCTAAAGACATGAAAATATTTTTACTTTCCACACGTACTTTTCTTTTAGTAACATCATGATATTTAGAATACAAATGAAATCTTTTTTTAATTTGTATTATTAAACTCTTTGAAAGCAGATGTAATCTATTTTGTTTGTCACTTTAAAAGCACATTAATACAGCCTAACATATAATGGCACCCAATAAAAACTTATTTTTTAATGTTTAAAAACAAAAAGACAATGAAGAATATACAACTATGTACCAGGGGGATTTGGGGAGAAAAAGGAAAAAAAATAAAATCTTTAAAAACAAAAAGAAAAATGCTAATAATAATTTTTATCTCTGCATTGATGTTTTGTAACAGGCAATATTTTAAATGTTTTTTATTTTTTCATCATAAAAAATATGAGGCAAGTATTATTGTTTTATCTTAAAATAAAGAAAAATATAGGTTATATAATTTCCCAAATCTTATAAAGAGTAATAGACAAAGTGGAATTAAAAACAATGTCCTAAAGTCACCTTATTCCTGTTGGAGAAGTTGGAATATACAAAAGTACTGGAAAATAGAATTACCTGATAAGCTTATCTTCTGTATTAATAGTTCCATTTCTTTCTTCTAGTTTTATGTGTGCACATGTAAATTGTATTTATTATATAAACACCTATATAAATAAAAATTAATATAATGCCCCATTTTGAATCTTGTATTTTTATGTAAGAATATATTAAAGACTTTTCCAATATTGTTAAACATTCCTTGTCAAAACTATCATGGAATCTGCATCATAAGGTGTGATGTGGCCAGCTCTTGAAACAGTAAATATTATGCACTTGCTGCAATTAGGATCACTTAATTTTGTGTATGATAAATAATACTGCTTCAAATATCTTTCTGTATAAGTCTTTTACTGAAGTCCTATTTCTACGGGCTAGAAATTTAAAAGTATAATTTAGTTAAAAGTTACATAAGTATATTTGGCTATATGTATAAAGTACATATATAAAACATGTACTTGTATTGGAAGTTTTTCTTTATATAGTACATTTATCTAAGTATAAAATAAAATATATTAATGGAGAAAATTTGAGATATATAAAAGTGTAAAGGGAAAATAAAATCCATTAAAAATCCTGTCATCCATGGAACCTAGTTAAAATTCAGATTTTCCCTTTTGGAAATATACATCATTTGTTATACACGTTTTATAATATTTAATAGAACAAGTTTATAATCACCTTTTCCCTTAATATTATGTTATACACATTTTGCGATATAAACATTCTTCTCTGCCTAAATCATAATAATTAGGTGATATCCATCCCTATCAACCATAATTTTTTTTATTTGTGCCCACATCTGGACAAAACTTTACTCATTCAATGATAGTTATTAGGAATTTACATGGCAGCACTACACTGTATTCTTTTGATAAATTAATTATAAACAAAGGCAAATGCAACCCTGTCTGAATGGAACTTACTTTCTGACAAGGAAACGAATACTAAGCACATAATAACAAATGGAAGTTTGCAACTTGGATAAGTGTTACTAAGAAGGATCTATGTAGTATTCAATGTTAAGAGCTAAAAAGGATTTGTTCTAATCAGGGAGGACACTCCGAGTACATGACTGAGTTTTCATCTAAAAAAAAGGAAAAACTATTAACACAGAGAAGAGAGAGGTTCAGAACATTTCCTGCAGCAGGACAGTGAAGATGTGCTTTGTTTTCATTTTTTAATGAGAATAAACAATGATGGGATAAAACAGGTACTGGGTCAAAGAGTATAATTTTGAAATATTGTTACTATTTATTCCCAGAAAACAAAGTTACAGATAATATAATTTAAAACAAACTTTCTAGAAAAAATGTTATCATTAAAACTTGCTATAATATTTTTACAATTTGTATTATATTTCACATTTAAGTAGGCAAAAAAAGGTAGGTCATTTTTCCTTGACTATTTTTGGCATCAAACATTATGTATTAAGTTTTCTGAACATATGCATCCTGGTTTGTGGTTAATGGAATATTCCTGCCACTGGGCAGTTTTTAACTATGATAATATGTTTTTCTTATTTACCTTTAAATATTGTTCAAGAAGTATGGAAAAGGACACCCTTACTGGTATAAGTGTTGGAAATGAATACCAACATATTATCTTTCATTTAAGTTGGTTTAAGTGTGTAAATGTACAAATGCTGTTAATTTTGTGCAGTCAGATCTGCTGAGAATAGGACTATGAAAAAGATGAAAGCGTTGGCATAGAGAATGTAGAAAGTGGTGAAAAAAAAACCAGTTGATGTAAAAGACAAAGAGCAACAGTGTAAATTACGACAACATAAAAAGAACAGAAAAATAAGAATCATAGCTATAATGTAAGAAGAAATATCCAGAATGAAAGACTTGAGTATGTAAGTAGAAAGAACATACCTAAAGTGAAACCCCAGAAAAATATGATGAAAAAAGTAAACATACATAAAATCCTACCCCTGTTCTTTTCTTTCTTTTTCTAATTTTGAGGGTAAAATGAAGGAAAAATATGTTGTAAGCATGCAGATTCTAAAGAAAATTTTCAAAGGAAACAATGTAAAAATTGGCTCAATCGTCTATTCTGCAACTCTAAGCACACGAATTTAAGCAGTGCACAATTGGAGTAAAATGTTTTAAAACAAAGGAATTTCTAACTTGTTGAATTAGTATGTTTGATTCATTTTCCTTATATATGATTATCTAATAAGATTATAACTACTTTGCTAGAAACAGCTTTAATATGTACTTGTTTCCTCTTTTGTCACTTTGTCATAGTCTTTTCTGTAATATTACTATTTTTACTTTTAGATTCAATACTTATTTAGGAATATGTTTTTAAGCGTCTAGTTTAAAAATTTTACGTTCAAATTTTTTTTACTTAACTATGCTTAATGTTTATATCATCTCATCTAAAGATAATGTAGTTTGTATTACTTCTACTTTGGAGGGACTGCATTGAATTGTTATGATCTAATATATGACCTATATTTTAAAATAAAAATATTAAATCTATGAATTTTAACTAAAATATTATAAAGGGGAAGGAGTAATCTTTAAAAATCTTAGGAAGAGAAAAACGCAAGGGAAGATCTTTTTGTATCATAGCTGCCAAAAAGAAAAGTGAAATTCTTAGAAAAAATAATACCTAACAAATGTCATAAGCATATGACAAATTAGAGAGATCTGTTGAATCCTACTACTCGCCTGTAACGTGGGCTAATTATCCTAGGTCCACATCACTATTACTACACACTGAATAGTGTCCCACAAAATCTATATGCTGAAGACCTAACCCCCAATATGATGGTATTTGGAGATGGGACCTTTGGGAGGTAATTAGCTTTAGATGAGGTCATGAGGTTGGGGCCCTCATGATGGGATTAGTGCCTTTATAAGAAGAGGCATCAAGGAGCTTGCTTCCTCTCTCTCTCCACCATGTGAGGACGTGGTGAGAAGGCAGCCCTCTGCAAGTCAGGTGGAGAGTCCTCACCAGGGAAGAGAATCCGCCAGCATCCTGATCTCGGACTTCCCTATCTCCACAACTGTGAGGAAGAAATTCCTCTTGTGTAAGTCCTCCGGTCTGTGGTATTTTGTTACAGCCACCAAAGCTGACTAAGATGACTATCAATTTAAGAAACAGATGTGTCTCCTGCTTACATCAAAAAATTGAGTCCTACTTATATCTTATGCATTTAAAAGTCTTAAATGAGGCCTCAGGACCTCATTTTCCTAATCTATAATGGGGAACATGAACACCTACATAATAATGTTGTTTATAATTACAAAAGAAATAGCAATTTTACAGTTCTCGACAAATATTGTTTTCAATAAATGTTTTGCCTGTATTAACACAATCAGCCTTTATTATTTTGCATCGGATATGTGAAGGTAGCATTTTTCAGAGGCTCTTCTTAAACATACTATGGAGCAAAAATATTTATCTGTTTATGTTCTGAAGTTAAAAAGTGCATCTTCTGGTAAATATTTTAAAAATCAGTTAGAGTTATATGAGATCAAAAGATTTTTTCCTTCAATATTCTGAGTTAATGGTTAGTATTTAGAAGAGTTAATGTTTTGAACATTTCAGTTACTCTTAACTTAGCACGCTGAACTAGATTTGCTGATCTTAGCAAAGACCCCAAATAATGTAATTCTCTGTATTGAGACTTCAAGCAAAAAATTGTCAGATTACATTATTTTATAAAATCTAAAATAAAGCTTGACTACGTCATTCATTTCCATTTATTTCAAACTTTATAAAGAGCAGAAATAGACCACAAAAAATAATTGTCAATTAAATGTGTGTGCCTTGTGAGCTGCAGTAAAAGCTGGCGAGAGCAGTCCACGATGAGTAAAAGAAATGAAATTCTTCTCCAGGACAGGTATCTTTTCCCCCAAATTAGGAACTGAAGGTTTAGCTTTGGTCCAGTTAACTTTCCACCAAATTGCTTCATCCGAGTCAAGGACCAAAGCGATTTAAGAAAGTTATAAATAAGAAACAGTATGTCACAGAAAAAGGATGCCTCTATTTTATTTTCATTGAATCACACCTGGAAGAATAATTATTTATTGTTTATTTTTAAAGTATCTGATAGCTGATTGTACGTGATTATGTGATTTTATAGAATTTTTCTTTTTAAGCTTTACTCTTTCATTTTACTATCTGTCATTTTGGAGGTTTGCAATCAACTCATATTTTTGCTAGAGTTCTTATAGAGAGAAAATAAATCAAAGAATGACAGTCAAATCTGGTCTTTTATGTCTACATAAAAATGTAATGGAATATGGTATGGAAACAATTTAAAATTGACTTTTTTTTCATTATTTGCTTATTCCTTTAAGTGTGCCATGTTGTTCATCATTTCTATGTAGTTTAGAAAGAGTTTTGATGTTGGCAATTTAGTATGGGGTTAGTTAAGAAGAAATCCTACATACATGGTGGTGTATACCGTGGGTGATTAATGTAGTAGGCCATCCAAGAAGTGAATCCCCAGTAAAAGACACAGCCCTACAAATAACACAGAATAAAAGTAAGTAATGTACAGCATATAGATCACATCACTCTAAACCACCCTACACGTCTATATGCCACACTGCAGTAGTTTTGTATAAAAAAATGATATAAATTTTCTAAACTGGCTAAATGGAATGTTTCTTCATCCAATAGCATTTTAAAAGTACCTTTTTGATATCACTAAAGAAATGCATTGCTTTACTCAGTCCTTATTAATATAAATGGGTATTCAGGATAGAGGACAATTGTGACACTGCTTTAGAAAATTTCTGAAGAATGGTTTTTGTCTATCAGATAATAAATATGAATTGTCATAAAAATAAATTTTCTATTGCATAAAATGTACTAATACTCATTTTCCAACAGTAAATGAATAAGAAGATGAATTATTTGCTCATCAAGTAATGTCTTGATTGATTAGAAAGAACAAGGCCTGGTTTTAGAAGTCCTAGGCTATAATGCTGATCCTATACTGATATGATAAATTTTAATACCTTCTGTCAAAAGAGAAGCTAGTGAAACAATTTCTGAGGTTTCTAAGAGTTTTAGAGTTTACTGTTTCATCACAATGGCAATAGAATGGCTGCTTTGTTGAAACTTTTAGAAAACAGATATTTGCCAAAGAAAGGAAGATTTTAGTAAGAGCATAATGTGTATTGAAAATAAATTTTAAATTGAAAAGTAAATTTCAATTTGAATTAGAAAGTTGAATTGCAGCATATTACCTAACCTACATTTCCAATTCAATGTTCCAGAAAATTTCTCGTTTTCTTGATCATTATTTGATGGTTAATAACTGTTGCATTCACCATTTTTTTGAAGAGTAAAGCCACTATCATCACACTGTCAAGTATCGTAAAGATGGGGTGTAGTATCATTATTTTAATCACACAGATGTTTGTTTATAGGAAGGTTCATAAATGACATTCTTCCCCTCCAAGTGGCACTTAAATAATCTGAATTCAATGTTAAGTATTTTCAAAATTAAAAGTTGCCTGAACTTATCTAGCTTGCAACATAAGATCTTGGCAAACTTTTCTATGCAGGGTTATTGGTTGAGGGCAGCTCCAATGAAACAGGTCACCCAGGAAATAACGTTTCAGGAACAGAATGTTTAAGACAGGCTGATACTGCTGAACAGACAAATCTAGGCTTGAGGGAAATAAACATGATTGAATTATTTTACAGGTGATTCGATACATAAATTATCTCAATAATAATTAAAATTACAAAACATATCGATCCCTACCTTTATCAAATTTTTCAAAGGTGTATGTCCTGCAGAAACTTTGTGTACAAATAAGGTTTCCAAAAGATATCGGATATAGTGCATACAATGGCAGAAGCAGGCCAAGCTAGAAAGAAAATGAAATATGAATACATTAAATTCTCTCCTAAAAATCTGAATTGCCTTATGCATAAGATATTTTAATTTTTTTATTTAATACATGATTCTACTTATTAGGAAATATTGTTTTCAGTAACCAAACCACAAGTGTTTGTGTTAATATTTTTATTCTAGAAATGTTCTAAACTTATTTAATAACAAAAGTACTGTTACAACAGTCTCTATAAATTTACTTCTGATGACACTAGAAATATTTCATAAATTGTATGCTCACACCTGCTCCAGGAATATATATACGTATAATAATTGCAAATGTGCTCATATCAAAATGCCTCCAGATTAAAGCAGACAATTCAAAAATATCCAAAACCTACTTAGAATGCATTTGACATTTTATAATATTCAGAATAACTTTTTCATTGTCTACTTGTCCTTTAGCAAGTCCCATAGATTGAAAAAGTTTGAATTTCATATCCTATGGGTTCAATGCTGCTTTTGTTTTGTTTAGTTTATGTTTGGTTTTTGCCCACCTAACATATTGCAATATTTTGTTTGTCCCTTTGTGCATTTGTTTTTGTTGCTATTTTTCTAAGTTACCACCTCTTCTTGTCATTTGTATAACCCTATTTTAAAACTAAATGCCAAATGTAATTTACAGAAGTATATTTAAGAAAAAAATATTTTGCATTAAAATCTGTACCTATGTTGTTATAAATAAAATGTAAAATTTCAAATCCTTTGGCTGCTATTCAAGAAAATCAACATGAATCAAAGATTGCATAATTAAACCAATAAAGGTTGAGCATAAAAATCAGCATGCCATTTAGTCTACATAAAATAAAACATCGAGTCTCCACTGGGAGTTCATTTTAACAAAAATGAACCAACGATTTCTGATTTTAATAATAGTGACTTTAGGTAAGACAAACAAATAAACAAACACTAATCAACCTGGCTAAGTCATCAGGGAATTTATCATTATTAATCAATTCATAAATATATAATTTTGCATCTCTTATGGGAGAGATGTTTTATGTGATGTGTATATCTGTGAACAATAGACAATTTCTGAAAGATGTGAGAGACCAAACAGTGTGGTGATCTGGGGATAGCACTTTCTAGACAGTAAGACAAGCACAAGCAAAGATCCTGATCTAGGAAGTTGCCTTGTGGGGTCAAAGAACTGGTGAGGGCATTGATATCCCTCCTAACTTGTTCGTTCTTTTGTAGAAGTGTTTATATAAATACCTGATTAATAAAATTTTCCATTTTGTAATAAAGCAGAAAAATTAGGTTACACCCAGCAATGTAGCAGAGCTCTAAATGAGAAATTTTAGTTCAAGCTATGATACCTCTAAATTAGTTCACTTATTTATTTTATGCTATACATAAGAGAGCACAGAGACCAGTATAGAATTTACTGCTATGCCTTGCTATTTGGATATATGCCACTTTGCACACTATTGATAACTCACCTACCAAGTTTCATTTCATTCAACAATATTCCTATTCTTTTTTCATTTTGATTGACTTCTCTTCAAACATCAACTCTTGCTCTCTCCTGTGCTAAACTAAGTGCACATCCATAAATAGGCTGGGGCCCAATTCTTCTTCTAGTTATAATATTTGAAAATATCTTATCCTGTATCAAATAAGTTTCAAAGTCTGAGGGCTGTGGGAGAAGACAGTCTAAACTTCAGAGCTTCAAGGTAGGCAATGTATCAGGTTTCTGTTGATGAAGAATTTGAAGTTAGTGTTCAGATAAAATGTTGAAGATATAAGAGATTTTTCTAATAATGGACTTTGAATTGCAGAGGACACAGTGGAAGGATTCCAGGAGTTGGGGAAGACTCATGGAAGGCAACATTAGACGATTGTAGAGTTTATTGAGATGGAATGTGTGAAATGAGGGAGGATGACCTGACAGTGTGGGGTTAATGAGGTGGATACATCCCTAAACAGGGATATAGTATCCAAATATCTAAAGTATTCTCTTGCGTTTAAAGCAGATAGTCACACTGTGAACACTGACTGCAGGAAAGGTTTCTCTGGCTGCTTTTCCATCACTGATGATGCAGTTAGAAGCCCTAAGAAGGTGTGGCCTTAGCCACAGTGCAGCTAGTTCACCTGATCCCTCTAGTGGGAGAGACTATGCTACTTTTGAGTATGTTTCTCTATCTTAAATACCGTTGATTAAATAAAGAACATCTGTGTTACACCAAGCTGTGGACCACCTTTTCACTACTTGATGGGGACAGAGATCCTGCAGGAGATTCAGCCTTAGTGTGCAGAGGTTTCTAAGCAATTCAAAGAATTTTGTGGCAGTTCAGTCACATATAGATCTGAATCCAGCAGAAAAATACTTTTGACTCTGTGATGTGATTCAAAGCAATTTTGGAGAATTAACATTGGAGTGTGTGGCAAATGGAGATGACATTTGAAATTTGATCTTCTTAACCTTGGGAAATGACATCGTCCATCCTGAAATTCACTTGCCTTAGAAGCCTTTGATTACTTTATAATCTCTACTGTGACACAAATTTCAAAAGCAGTTTGTGTGTTTGTGTATATCTGCTCTGAAATAATTTCATAAAAACAATATATTTGCTATTTTGGAACAATGTAGCACAAATACATTTATCACTGAAATGTTATAAAACACGCTGTGTTTGTGTTTAAGAATGGTAACCAACCCTGAGTCAATTCCTTTGAGAATGCCACTGGGGAAAAGTGTTCTTTTTTCATTCTATGCTATATATCTGGTTCATATTATATATTTGGTGTAAAAACTAAGTGCAATTGCATTCTCCTTATGAACTCTCCACCCCAGACTCTTTCTAAATGAATTGGGCCTTCCCTTCACTTAAGAAAAAGGACAGATGTTAATTTTCCAAAAGGCCCCGAACAGCTTGTCCTATAAAACCTGACCATCATCCCCGAGAGCTGATCTCCCTATCTTCTCTGTGCTCTGCTCCACTAACTTTCTTTCTGCCCCTACAAAGCATCAATTGGCTTTGTACCACAAATAATTTCCATGTTAAGATTCCTCAAATTTACTAAAATCTGACTAATCTCTTCAGAGAACAAAGAAAAAAGTTCAAATGCAACTTTCTTAGAGAAGCCATCTTAGAACTCCCATCCAGGTCAGGTTCCTCTCTTTCATCCTCTAAAAGTGCCCAATGTAAAATAAATACATAGTATGATATTGATTCATCTACATATTTCATTCAAAATATTTTTCTTGAGTATTTCCTAGAAATCAAGTCGTGTGTTAAGCAGCGAAAATATCCTGGATATCAAAATACATTCATTATAGAACTTTTACTCTATAGAGGGAAAAACACAAACAAATGTTTACGTGAATATATAATTTTAAAGTTGTATACAATAAATTGTATAAAAGAAAAATATTTTAGTAGCATATTGGTCATGGAAGGAATAGTAATGGCTACCTTAAGTAAGAAATATTAAGCTTCTATCTGAAGCTTGAATAATAGATAAGGAAGAGGTAGGTAAAGAAGATTGAGGCAGAGGGATGGCATGTGTAAATGCCCCATGTGAAAGGGAACACGGCAGGTATCAGGATAAGAAGGAAGACCAGAGTGACTGGAGTACAGAAATTAAGGGTAAGGGAAAGCTTGATTTGAGATGGGAGAATTACTAGTCAAATCATTCTCTATCTTCTAGTATCCCCGTGACCTGAATTTTTCTTCATAATTCTCTTGGACTTTAGTCATATAATCAGGTTCTTTTTTTTTGTTTTTGAACAAATTGCTAATCCTACATCTCAGTGTAGCATCTTGAATAATGATTTTCTTTCTCTTTAATTCGGTATGCCGAAAGAGACAGACAGACAGACCAACCAATTATTTCCACAATATGCTAACTACTCCGGTTGTATATTCTGCTTTGATAACTGTCTTGGTCTTTTTTCTGTCTTCAACATAAAATTTAATTTTGTATTTTGACTTACTAAAGATAACTCGTAAAAACTTTTTCATTAGTTAGGTCATTATTTCTTTCCTATGTAATGTTGCCCATGTTTTTAAAGAAGTATCTATATTTTGAGCCTAAATATGGCTGCTCAACTTTATAATTGAAGATCTTTTTTGATATTTCTAAATTTCTAGATTTCTCTTGTTGTGTGATTATTATCAACTTAAATTCCCTCTACTTTAAAGTATATTTAATAGTTTATTGTTTATAAATTTGCAAGTTGGTGTGGATACATTATTTATGGTTACCTAAAATATATTTCCCCAAAATTGAATCCACTTTAATTGGGTTTACAAATAACCTTTATTAAGATAATATCTGTGTACTGGTTCACCTCCTCCTTAATCTATATATACTATACGTATTACTTACTGTACCACTGGGTGGCGTAATCTTCTAGAACACTCTTTCATGTCATATATATATGGGATCCTCAAATAAAAGAGGAGATATATTAGCAGAGGTCCTGTGTATTCAGCCAAAAATACCTGAAAATAAGAAGCTGATTTAGATTAAACATATTTTTATAGATGTTAAGTTTCACTTATGACTATGAGCATCTATTTTTTAAAAAGAATTAGACTAAGTGCTAATGCAAATAACAAAAAGTCTTCCTTGGAAGAATTACCCAAGAGTTAGGAGAATGACAATTATAAATAATTAATTTAAAATAAAAATTAATATTGAACCTAATGTTTTTTTCATAAACAGTACAAAGGAATTTTTATTTAACTAACCAATAACCAAATATTTCTTCAAGTCTCCCTAGCCCCATACACATTCCATCTTCTGTGTCAACTGTGCTTGTCACTAAATGGAATGGGCTTTAGTGACTGTTTTTGGTTTTTTCCTTATCTTTACATGGCCATGTCGTCTTGAACTCAATTGATTTGACCCTGATTAAAATTGAAATAATTTAGTTGTCTCTTTTGGAAATTTTAGACCTCGATTCTAATGAGTCTGAGTGGGTATTTAAAAGGATTGCCTTCTGACTTCTGGAGCTGAGGGGCAACCACATATGTGGAAAGAAATATCCATCCTACAGAGAGACAGTTTAAGACTTGGAAAGATAGCTGGAAGCAAGAAGTTGTGATTGCAGAAAGATTAACTGGCTGAGTGGTTTTCTGAATCTGGTGACTGTCCATTATTTGACTTTGTTTTGATACTGGAACCAAGTTAAAGTCACACTCTGGAATTTTCAGACAGAAGAGGGAAAATAATTGACCTCTGAGTGTTCAAAGAGAAGAGAATTGATACAAACATGACAATGATAAATTCAACTGCCATTACTACTTTGCTTTGTCTTTGCCAATTTTCATCATTTTCTAAGGAGGAAAACTTAAAGCTGCACTTGTTTTACTGAATATGCAGGTGTGCTCAATGAGTAAAAATTATGTTCTTATCTCTGGTGAGAATTTTATATAGTTAGATGGTTACAATACACGATATGCATGTTTTATGTATATATGCATAAATAATAAATACATATACACATAGATTATACATGTAATACATGTATAATAATAATACATACAATAATAATGCATATTATAGCTATTTATATACATAGGTTTCTTCAGTTATAATTTTTCTTTTTAGCAATATTTATCATCTCATGAGCCCCAAAAGACTTTTATGTGAAGGTAAAAACAATGCAACATCTGATAAATTCAATATATAAGCAACCTTTTTACCAAGAGACTATATTGATTTATGGCATACAACATGCCTGATTATTCAGATATAAAGAAAAAATATTTACCACTTTTGAATGCCTGATAATAGAGTCTAGTTTATACTCTAGAACAAGGAAAGTGATTGTTTTATTACAGCAAAACGTTTAAAATATTTGTTTCAATGCCATCTGATCTAGTCAGGTCAAATTTGAGCAAATTCGCTAGTAATATATCAGGAATGAAAACTGTCGTGAATAATAGTTAACGTGGACCAAATGTCACTCTTTATTAAGTTAATAAAAATGCTATCACAAATAGGAAGTTTCCTTGGATCAGAGGAAATTAAACTACAATCTCATCTCCATCATCTCCTAAAAATAAATTCGGAGAACCTGCTGGCTTACAGTAATATGTTCTAGGAGGCCCAACATTTTATCACAAATATTATTCATACTGAAACTTGGGGGTTAAAACAGTACATTGTATGAAGATAGATCCTGACCTGACAGCAGTAGAGAATGATAAGAAATAACCTTTGTACAATGTATCTTTCAAAAAAAACAGTCTATTTGGGTGCAAATAGAAGAAAAGAAGAGATATGTTTTATTAAACTTAGAAGGTAATCAGAAAATAGTTTCAGAATAAATAAAACTACAAGCCAGAAAGACAAATAGTAAGATGACAGCCTCTGAAACAGGAATTGTTCTTCGTCTACTAAAAAAGAGAGAGTAAAAACAAAACCAAAACCAAAATAAACAAACAAACAAATATGGTTGGGTATACAGCCTAAGCAAATCAGATTAATTTGCAAAGACTAGGAACTCCATTGTAATCCACAAGTTTAGCAGAGATTCTATCTTCAAAGTAAGTAGATATACTCTTTTTACTTTGCAGATACATGCTACCTTAAATTCCAAAATCAAATTCTTTTCATGCTTCCCTTTTATAGAAAGTTCTCTGTATTAAATGAATGTGTTGCTTTAAATGCAAAATTCACTACTTCTACTAGGCAAGCCAGGTAATTGGGATTTTTTTGAACTTCTGTGGAGTATTCAATTTAGTGTTTGTCTAAATTGAAAGAGGTAGAAGGCAATAAGCTGGTTTAGAAAATATAATTGAAACATGTGGCTGCAATAGTGAATTGATTAGGACTCTTGTGCTTAGATTGTGCTTAATGCATTTCATCCTCTCTTGAAAAGAAAAAGCATGACTTTTTATTCCTGTTGTTATTGAGGTGATGGCTTTACTTGTTTTTTAAAATTGCAATTGACAGTCGAAAGCAAAATAAATTGCGCATTTCACAGTTGTTGAAAATTATGAACAAAAATAAAGTAGTGCCAACTTTAACCTTTTAAAGATAGGAGAGCTACTAAATATAATTATGAGAGCATTTCCCAATAGTAATATCACTTTGTACTCAATGAGTACTATCGAAGCTAATATGATACTAGAAATTATTTTTTTTAATTTAACCACTATAGGAATAACATATAATGGGGAATTCTGTTTTAGATTATTCAAACAAATCATTCTAATGAGATCAGTGAGAAAGATTGATTAAAATGTTTTTCAGGCTTCAAAGAGCTACTGAGTCATGGAAGAATTAGAAGGTCAAGATTTTTAAACAGGGTTCCAGAGTAATGATTGAACATGAGATATGAAGCCTGGTAAGAAGATCAAATCTTTTGGGGGTGCTTGAGAAGAAAAGGACAAAAATTGTTGCTTGGTGTCTTGCAAGGATGGAGGTGGCTTTATAAAACCTCCAGGATTTGGGTTAGTGAATTACACCATAGGAGTGAAGATGAGGCAGAAATAGATCTGTCTACACAGGTACTGAGGCTCCGCCTGGAATCATTTCAATCATTGATTGGGTTAAAACGACCTGGACCCATTAGTGCCAGTAGTCCATCTGTAGAATGATAGATCATCTTTGAAAGAAGGTAACATCATCCTAGGCTCAAGTTATCTTTAAAGTTTTTCACATAAATTTTCCTGCACTAAGTTATAAATATACGAGTATACAAGGAGTGAAGATATTGTGACCGAAACCAAAAGAAACAGCAGACATTGAAAACACATAAACTGAGGATTCACATAACAAAATTATCAGACATATACTTTTACAAAACTATCTTTTAGGGGCTGGCCCCGTGGCCCAGTGGTTAAGTTCGCATGCTCCGCTGCAGGCGGCCCAGTGTTTCGTTGGTTTGAATCCTGGGCGAGGACATGGCACTGCTCATCAAACCACGCTGAGGCCGCGTCCCACATGCCACAACTATGAAGGACCCACAATGAAGAGTGTATACAACTATGTACTGGGGGGCTTTGGGGATAAAAAGGAAAAAATAAAATCTTTTTAAAAAAAACTATCTTTTAATATTCGAAGAAATAAAAGACATGATTGAGACTGTCGGTAGATATCTGAAAACTCTGAAAAGAAAAACATGGAAATGCAATATGAAACCCAAAAGGAGAATACAAAGAGAATAACGGAAAAGCGAAAGGTGAAGAGATTATGCTAATTTTTCAAATTAAATATATATATCAAACCATAGACTCAGATAACACTATAAACCTGAGGCAGAGGAAACAGAAACATAATCATAACTGTGAGTGCCAAAGTCAAACTGCTGCTAACCAAACAAAGAAAAATTTTAAATAAGCCAGAGAAAGACACACTACTTTCAAAGAAGTATAGCTGACTTTTCAACAGAAACAGTGGGAGCCAGAAATAAAAATAATGAAATGTTGTGAAGTGAAAACAAAAATAACCACCAAGATTGAATTATTTTTTTCTGCAAAAATATTCTTCAAGAATAAAAGTTAAATAAACATGCTTTAACATGAACAAGAATTGAGAGAATTCGTTAATGATAAAAGTAGAGTAAAGCACTGAAAGTGTTTTTCAGGAAGAAGAATAATGATACCAGATTAGTTCAACATGAGAAGGAAGAACTAAATTGCAGTAAAGAGGATAAATCTAAATAAATATTGACTATATAAAATTATAGGACTGGATTTTGGCTTTAAAATATGTAGAAAATTAAAATATACCACGATAGAAGGTATGTCAGGAGGAACTCAAATATCTTAAAGTCATTTAACTATCTATGAGGTATCACATTAGTAATCTTAAATTAAACACTTTATATTAGTGTCTAATATTTTAAAAACCTACAGTGTAATCTCTTGAGTACACTAGAGTTAGTAAAAAAAAAGAAGATATAACCACCAAAATAGCAGAGAGGCTAATAGAAAAGAAAGTATGACAATTAATCCAAATGTGGCAAGAAAAAAAAAACAGAAAATGGATTATAAAACACAAGAGGCAAATTGGAAGAAAATACTGATTGTTTGGTGATTAAAAAAAATAGGTAATTCTCTACAATATAAATAGACTATGATTAAATGTAAACTATTAAACTGTTAGAAAAAATCCTGGGAGAAATACTCCTGGACTTAGGGCCCAGCAGAGAGTTCTTACATAGGTCATATGACAGTGAAGGCAAGATCCTTAAGAGAAAATATTGATAAATCAGACTGCATTAATATTGAAAACTCGGGGGCCAGCCTGATGGCGCAGCAGTTAAGTGCACACGTTCCGCTTTGGCGGCCAGGGGTTCACCACTTCGGATCCCGCGTGCGGACATAGCAACGCTTGGCAAGCTATGCTGTGGCAGGCCTCCCACGTATAAAGTGGCGGAAGATGAGCATGGATGTTAGCTCAGGGCCAGTCTTCCTCAGCAAAAAGAGGAGGACTGGCAATAGTTAGCTCAGGGCTAATCTTCCTCAAAAAAAAAATTTAAAACTTGTTGCACAGCAAAAAAATAACCCTGTTGAAAAGATGAAAAGACAAGTTAAAAACTGAAAGAAAATATTTGCAAACCATGTATTAAAGTACTTATCTAGAATATAAAAGGTACTTGTAAAACTCAACTATGTGTATCAGAAAAGAGTTATGTTCACGCAAATACACGAACAGATAACAGCTTTATTTGTAATAGTAAAATTCTGAAAACGACCCAAATGTCTGTCAATGGCTGAATGGGTAAACAAACTCTGTTACATCCATACTACAGAATATTACTCACCAATAAATGAGAACTGAGTTTGTTACATGCAACAAGCAGGATGGATCCCAAAGGCACAACGCTTAGGGAAAAGTAAATATCAATCACAAAATACTGTTTGATTCTGTTTGCATCGCGTTACCCACATGACAAAAATATAGAGATGAATAGATTGGTGGTTGTCCCAGTGTAGGGAAAAGAATGTGTGAATATAGAAGGGTAATTGAGGGAGTTCCTTTGTGGGAATGGACCAATTCTGTATCTGATTTTGGTGGTAGATACATGAATCTAAGCAAGAGATAAACTGCACAGAACTATAGACACACACATGGATGAATGTATAAGTGGTGAAGACTGAATAAGATCTTTAGTTTAGTTAATAGGATTTATATAATGAGGATTATTACATTGCTATATTAACACTTTCTCCTAACTCTTTCAATAAATTCAATGAGGTAAGAGTTTTTTCAATATTCGGTGATAATATACTCTTACTTGATGAAAAATATTATTAAAATATTAATTTTGACCTTGCTAAGTTAAAGAGATTGTTTTTTTAAAAAAACTATAATAATACTTTTATTATAGGAGCACATTTAATATTTTATAAATGTACAAGAATGTTATGTGTGGTAAAATACTGCTTTTATTGTATAATTTAGTTGATATAAAGTAGGCATGATTGGAATATAATGTGTATATTTTTAGCATTTAATGGAACTGACTCATTTGGAGCAAAAGGTCGTATGAACCATAGAGTTGATTTAAAAATATCCAGCCTATTTCCAGAGCTCCTTTTGTCAACTAAATGACTTTCCTCTCAAATAAGCTATAATTTTCTAGTACAATTGTCATAGAATTCCACCTTAGCACTTTCTCTCCTCAGTGCTTATCCAAATGATGCAGCTGGAATTTCTAATGAACACGCTGTTAATGTCACTCACGCTGACACAACTTCCGTAGACAGAATTCCCTTTTCATCATAAATGTGAACAAAGACTCTGAATAGTTTAACCTTTGAAGATCAAAATCTGCTTGTCTAAAATCTCTTTTAGCAAAGGTTTATAGATATCACATTTAAGTATTAAACCCTTGACTTAAACAATACACGCATCAATAGATTGTTTTGTAAACATTATGAAACACTGCAACAGGATTCATAATATTCTAAACTCAGTTTTTAGGGCAACAAATTAGTACTCAAAAGCTCAGCAAACTTTGGAAATTAAAGCAACTATTTAACCAAAAACACTAAAATATAAGTAATTCTCTAAATACAGGAAGACAATATTTGTTAAAGGACAGACTGCTAGAAAAATAAAAGATGTGACAATATTTTAATTAATGAATGTAAACTTGAATTTCTCTTTTTGAGAATTAAATAAGAATGTAAAAGTTATCCTGTGTTTGTAATAATTTTAAAAATTGATTGTTTAAGTATAAAAGGAAAACTCAAAGCACTGTGGATGATAATGTTAATTGTTAATGCTGGCAAAAAGGAAAGCCATTTTGAATAGAAAATATTAAAAGTGTAATCATATCACAAATATGGAATAGGACATAATCAGAAAAAAACCTTTAAAAGTGTAAACAAGAAATATAAAATAAGTTTAATTGAAAAATAGAATACTTGCACTATTCTCTGTATATCAGTGTCAAAATTATTTATCAAATTAACTCCTTCACTGCCTCTGTCACTAAATATCACATAGTATTTCCTCTTGCTACTGAAGCTATTCCATCTATCTACTTCTTTCTTTTTTCTTTTTTGGTCAGGAAGATGGGCCCTGAGCTAACATCTATTGCCAACCTTCCTCTTTTCGCTTGAGGAAGATTAGCACTGACCTAACATCTATGCAAATCTTCCTCTATTTTGTATGTGGGTCACTGCCACAGCATGGCTGATGAATGGTGTAGGTCTGCACCTGGAATTGGAACCCACAAAGCCAGGCACTGAAGCAGAGGGCACCTAACTTAACTAGCATGCAACAGAGCCAGCCCCTATCTACCTATTTCTTTATTCATGAATAGTCCAATGTTTGTGAAATAGTGTTAAGTATTTTCTGTTTCTTAGTACTCTGTGTCTTAGTCTTCTTTCTTCTAATGCCATTGGATTCAGCTGCTATCACTTTGAAAGCTCCTCCTCCCAGATGAACCAAAAGAACACCTGCCTCCCCAAACTCAAAGAAGTCTTATTACTTCATTCTCAGTTTCCAAAATGTTCTCCCTCAGCCTTGGAACATTTTTTATTGAATAATTTCCCTCTGTCTGATGTTAGAAGAGTCTTCATTATCCCCAGGACCCTAGAAGGAAAATCTGAAGAAATACCATTGAACTGACAAGGCATAGGGCAAGCAGAAATGGGGCCATCAGTCATAGGGTAGATTGATATTTAAAAGGAAATTTGTCTTCCTTCTTTCAACTGTCTATTTACACTGCTCCAATTCTTGAACGGAATTTTGGACACTGATCATAGTATGAATGGAAAATTTAAAATATCATTCAGTACAATATTTTGTTTCACTATGAATTTATTTGATAGAAATTGTCCTTCTGGTCAACAAATTATTCACATCAAAATATGTGACATGTGTATTGCATTTCAAATTGATACTTACTGTAGTCCAACTGACCTGTTGACCTAGGTCTGTAAAATAGAGTGTGACAATGGAGGAGGCTGCAACACTTTGAATGGTTACGTAGTCCTTCAAAAAAGGCCCACCTTCAATAATAAGGAAATATTATTTTAACACAATTTCAAGTCATAATGATAATAATTTTTAATGTGAGAGCTAAGGATGAAATTTACATGGGAATCTCAATGTACAATAAATCTTTCATGTAAAATAAAATGTGAATAAACACATTTTATAAAATACATTTTATAAAATATATCTAGCAAATTTTCAAATGCATAGTAGTTTCCCAGAGCTATCTAAACAAAGTACAGACTACCAGTAGTTAGTATCATATTTTATTCTGAGAAAATATAATATTAGATATTACCATAATCAAATATGATACAAAGTATTTTAAAAGTATAATTTAAGTGTCAGTAGACAAAGAACTGTTTTCTAAGTGATTTTATTATAGGAGATATTAGTTGGAGTAGATGAATTTCAATGGTCACTGCAAAGCACCATGACTTACCTTTTTAAAAGATCACTATGGATGCTGTGTGGAAAATGGGAAGCAAGGACATTACTTAGGAGAAACTCAAAATTTGTCAAGCAAGATATGATGTTTGGATTAAGGTGGCACTGAAGGAAATGTTAAAAATGCATCAATTCCAGATGTTTTTGAACATAGAAAAGATTCAACTTGAGAGGAGAGGATTCAGTGAGATAAAATAGCTCTTAGAGTTTTGGCCTGAGCACTTAAGGGTGTTGTAATATCATTTACCAACATGAAGAAAACTGAGGAAGGGGAAGGATTTGGGGGTGAAAATTAAGATTTCTGCTAGGGTATGTTAAGTGTGTGATATCTGTTAGACATTCAAGTGAAGAGCTATCAAGTAAGCAGTTGGGTAGATGTCTGTAGATATTTGAAACTCAGTAACAGATAAAGCCATGGGGCTTGATGAGATTATTTATGTACTTAGTTTGAGAAGAGAATGGAAACTGAGACAGTTTTCTACCACTCCAACCTTTCCAAGAAATAAGAGAAACATATAGCAAATACTGAGAAGGAGTTTCTCATGAAATAGCAGGAAAATAAACAGAATAGATGTCTTAGAAGACATGTAAAGGAAATGTTCCATTCTTAAAAATGAGCCGTACAGATATTGAAACTAAAAAGACAATAAAAAGGATCAATGAAACAAAGAGTTGGTTCTTCGAAAAAATTAACAAAATTGACAAACCCTTGGCCAGACTCACCAAGAAAAGAAGAGAGAAATTTCAAATAAATAAAATTAGGAATGAGAGAGGAGAAATCACAACAGATACCAAAGAAATACAAGGGATCATAAGAGAATACTATGAAAAACTATATGCCAACAAATTGAACAACCTAGAAGAAATGGACAAATTCCTGGACTCTTACAACCTACCCAAACTGAACCAGGAAGAAATGGAGAACCTGAATAGGCCAATCACAAGTAAAGAAATAGAAACAGTAATCGAAAACCTCCCCAAAAATAAGAGTCCAGGACCAGACGGCTTCTCTGGAGAATTCTATCAAACATTCAAAGAAGATTTAATACCTATCCTTCTCAAACTATTCCAGAAAATTGAGGAAGATGGAGTACTCCCCAACACATGCTATGAAGCCAACATCACTCTGATCCCCAAACCTGACAAGGACAACACAAAGAAGGAGAACTACAGGCCGATATCACTGATGAACATAGATGCAAAAATCCTCAACAAAATTCTGGCAAACCGAATACAGCAATATGTAAAAAAAATTATACACCATGATCAAGTGGGATTTATACCAGGGACACAGGGATGGTTCAACATCTGCAAGTCAATCAACGTGATACACTACATTAACAAAATGAGAAACAAAAACCACAGGATCATCTCAATAGATGCAGAGAAAGCATTAGACAAGATCCAACATCCATTTATGATAAAAACCCTCAATAAAATGGGTATAGAAGGAAAGTACCTCAACATAATAAAGGCCATATATGACAAACCCACAGCCAACATTATACTCAATGGACAAAAACTGAAAGCCATCCCTCCGAGGACAGGAACAAGACAAGGGTGCCCGCTTTCACCAATCCTATTCAACATAGTACTGGAGGTGTTAGCCAGAGCAATTAGGCAGGAGAAAGAAATAAAAGCAATCCAAATAGGCAATGAAGAAGTAAAACTCTCGCTGTTTGCAGACGACATGATCTAATATGTAGAAAACCCCAAAGAATCCATAGGAAAACTATTAGAAATAATCAACATCTACAGCAAAGTTGCAGGGTATAAAATCAACATACATAATTCATTAGCATTTCTATACACAAACAATGAACCACCAGAAAAAGAACTCAAGAACTCAATCCCATTCACAATCGCAACAAAAAGAATAAAATACCTTGGGATAAATTTAACCAAGGAAGTGAAAGATTTATACAATGAAAACTATAAGACTTTCTTGAAAGAAATGGACGACGACATAAAGAGATGGAAAGACATTCCATGCACATGGATTGGAAGAGTAAACATAGTTAAAAATGTCCATACTACCTAAAGCAATCTACAGATTCAATGCTATCCCAATCAGAATCCCAAGGGCATTCTTTACAGAAATTGAACAAAGAATCCTAAAATTCATATGGGGCAGCAAAAGACCGCGAATTGCTAAAACAATCCTGAGTAAGAAAAACAAAGCCGGAGGCATCACAATCCCAGATTTCAAAACATACTACAAAGCTACAGTGATCAAAACAGCATGGTACTGGTACAAAAACAGGTGCACAGATCAATGGAACAGAATTGAAAGCCCAGAGATAAAACCACACATCTATGGACAGCTAATCTTCAACAAAGGAGCTGAGGGCCTACAACGGAGAAAAGAAAGTCTCTTCAACAAATGGTGTTGGGAAAACTGGACAGCCACATGTAAAAGAATGAAGATTGATCATTCTTTTTCACCATTCACAAAAATAAACTCAAAATGGATCAAAGACTTAAAGGTTAGGCCTGACACAATAAGCCTTCTAGAAGAGAATATAGGCAGTACACTCTTTGACATCAGTTTCAAAAGAATCTTTTTGGACACTATAACTCCTCAGATGGGGGAAACAATAGAAAGAATAAACAAATGAGACTTCATCAGACTAAAGACTTTCTTCAAAGCAAGGGAAAACAGGATTGAAACAAAAAAACAGCCCACTAATTGGGAAAAAATATTTACAAGCTACTTATCCAACAAAGGATTAATATCCATAATATACAAAGAACTCACACAGCTTAACAACAAAAAAACAAACAACCTGATCAAAAAATGGGCAGAGGACATGAACAGACATTTCTCCAAAGAAGATATGAATATGGCCAAGAGACACATGAAAAGATGTTCATCATCCCTAATCATCAGGGAAATGCAAATCAAAACTACACTAAGATATCACCTTACACCTGCTAGATTGGCAAAAACATCCAAAACCAAAAGTGACAAATGTTGGAGAGGTTGTGGAGAAAAAGGAACCCTCATACACTGTTGGTGGGAATGCAAACTAGTGCAGCCACTATGGAAAACAGTATGGAGATTTCTCAAAAAGTTAAAAATAGAAATACCCTATGACCCAGCCATCCCACTACTGGGTATCTACCCTATGAATCTGAAATCAGCAATCCCAAGAGTCCCATGCACCCCTATGTTCATCGCAGCACTATTTACAATAGCCAAGACGTGGAACCAACCTAAATGCCCAGAACCTGACAACTGGATAAAGAAGATATGGTATATATACACAATGGAATACTACTCAGCCATAAAAAAGGACCAAATTGTTCCATTCGCATCAACATGGATGGACCTTGAGGATATTATATTAAGCAAAATAAGCCAGACAGAGAAAGATGAACTCTATATGACCCCACTTATAGGTGGAAGTTAACATATAGACATGGAGAACCGATCGGTGATTACCAGGGAAAAGGGGGGGTGGGGGGAGGGCACAAAGGGTGAAGTGGTGTGTCCACAACATTACTAACAATAATGTACAACTGAAATCTCACAAGGTTGTAATGTATCATAATCTTAATAAAAAAATGAAAAAATGAACTGTACATAAGTCTGGCATAAGCATACTGGAAGATATGTATAAGGATGTGCTTTTTGCATTATTTGTAATAGCAAAAATTGTATAAAAATCTTAAATGTGCATAAATGAGATAATGGATAAATATATTTTGTTTTATTCCAAATACCAAATGCCAAACAGAAAGAAAAATGAGTGGACTAGAGCTACATGTACCAACATAGATAAATCTCACAAGTATAATGCTATTATTGTTGTTGTCATTGTTGTTGTTATATTTATATTATACTTTATGCTAATCTATTTGTGATTTATATTATCTCCAATGATGAAAAAGTGTCATTCCATTCTCTGTTTGAAAAAATCAGTAAAGTGTTAATTTGTGATGATTATTAGATGATTTTCAGAGTCCAATACATCATTTTATAATTATAGATATTTTAAAATAAGACGAAAATAAACAATTGCTTTATATTAATAGTGAAGATAGTAATTTGACAAATCCAATATGAATATTACAGGCTATCACTTCCTTGATTAGGTTGTGTTATATGGCTTCAAAAGAGAGATTATGCAGGTGGGTCTGACCTAATCATGAGTTCTTTAAACCTGCATGGAGAGGCAGACAGGAATTCAGAGATTCAACGTACTAGAAAGCTTCACTGTACCATTGCTGGCTTGAAGATGAAGAGGGCCACATGGCAAGTAGTAATGCAGGTGGCCTCTAGGAACTGAGATCCAGCAAGGAAATAGGGAGCTCTGTCATAGAAAACCAACAAGAGGAATTCTGCCAACAACAGGAATGAAGATGGAAGTGAGATCTTCTCAAGACTCTTCAGATGAGAAATCCAACTTGGTCCACACCATGATTCCAGCCTTGTGATACTCTGAGCAGAGAATCCAGCCATACTGAGTCTTCAAGCTAACAAATGAGTGTTGGATTAACCTACTAAGTCTGTGATAACGTGTTACACAGCTAATGCAAATGTAACATGGAAGCTAATGCACCCTGGATCAAGGGAAAGACTTTGATATCTGAATGGTCAGTAATGTCGTTGTGACAATCATGTATAACAACAAGAAATGTTAATAAGGACCAAAATTTCTGATAGCTTTGCACCACTTAAAAGTGTGATGAAAACATCTTTCCGATATACAGCTATTGACACATTTGGGGAGGGAATTAGTTTCTACTCCTATATCACCCATGCTGACTTCAAGGAAGAGAGCATTACAATTATGCTTTTAAAATGTGGTCCCATCAATATGACATTGGATAAAACACCCTGACAGAATCCAGACATATCATTAATCATACCACTTTTAGACTCAGTTCAGGGACCCTGTTGTTGGCCTTGCATGCTTCTTGCCTTTTTCAAAGGGAAAGAAATATGTAGGGCCAAGAGAACGTGCCTAACAGGAGCCCATGCCATCTCTTTCTCATATCTTGTTCTAGCCATTTAAGGAGCCTGAATTTCTAGCCCAAATTAACTTATGCAAAACATCTTCCTTGATTATTTCCTTCCAAGGATGAGCCAGGCAGTAGGATGCAACCTCTAAATCTAGGGGTTTGTCAAGGCTGTTGTATAAAAGGAATGGATGGTTGGAATCAGTGATGGGAAGAGAAGGGCCAACTGCCCAATCTTCACCTTTCTATTATAGAAATCCGATGATTCTGAGTTAGAACTTCAACCCTGTACTTCCAGGACATTATGAAATATGCTAATCAAGGTAGAATGAGAGAACACATTCTAGTTACCGGGTTGTATGGCAGATTTATTGCAGTAATGGCTTCAGTTCTTCACCATTCCCATATCACGCCATTTACAATATGAATTTTCATTCCTCCCATTAAGAGTTGGTGTCTATTTCCCCACCCCTTGAACATGGGCTAGCCTAGTGACCTACTTTGGCAAACAGAATGTGGAGCAAGGGATCATATGCCAATTCGAAACCTGGGCCTCAAGAGTTTTTGAGTCCTTGTGCTTATTTGTTTACCCCTGATTCTGCCATAAGAACAAGCTCAGAATATTCTGCCACAGCATGGGAGACCACACAGAGCAGAGAGGAGTGGCTGTAGCTATGGCCATCCTACACCAGCTGGTCCCCAGCAATCCACCAGCTGACTGCAGCTGCGTGAGTGAGCCTAGCCAAGCAAGCCCAAGTCCAGCCCAGCTCAGCAGAATCACTGAGCTAAATGAATGGTTTTTAACCTGTAAAAATCAATTTTCGCTATTTTGTTTACATTTTAGTGATGTCTTTTTGTGTGAGGAAACTATAAAAGACTCTAAATTCACATGATGTCATTACTCATAGTATAATCATTCTGGCAAATATATTCTGGCAGCAAATCTATGTAAATATTCAGGCCTTGATTTTTTTGGTATTGTCTTTTTTCCTTAATATTAATAGTTGTAACTATGACTGATGAAGCATCTACCATGTACCAGTCATTATAGTGCTTTGTAAACACAATCTTAACACTTATAAAAAGTCAAAAACCCAAAAACAAACCATGAGTTAGGTTCTTTATTAACTCCACTTTCCAAAAGAAGACACTATAGATAGGTAAGTAGAAGAGTCAGGTCTAAACTTCTGAGTTACTCCAAATAACCCTCTCTTTGCACCATGCCCTGCTTATCTCACTAAATTAATTGACTTTTTTTCAAGTACATCATCACATGCCTATCCAAGGACAACAACAGGGCTACACTTTATTCAGACCACACCCAGGCACACTCAACCAGGTAAATAAATTTGAGAGGAAAGTAAAATTTACATTCACCAGAAAGGTGGAAATAAGAGAAATTCCCTAGTCCTTTATCGTGTCTTTCAAATTGAAATTACATTTGGCATCGATGCATGTGACATTCTCAGAGTTTTCTTTATATGAATCAACTTCAAAAATAATACCGCAATTTCATTTTATGTTATTTCAGCATCCATGTGTTGAAAAGGCATTTATGTACTGGTACATACTAGGCCCTGTGGAGGCTAAAATAAACAAGATCATGATTCTTCTCTTTCAAACTCTAGCCACATGGGGATTTTTCTTGAACATTTGAACTTGAAAGAATTTGAGCCCATCAAGAAAGAGTGACTTCTGTGAATGCCATGGATGCCTATGGTTTCAACACAGAAGTCTCAAAGAAAGACAGAAAGAAAGATGGTTTAAGATAGCAATGAGAACAAACACAACATCTTAGAGAGATCCAAGGAAATCATCATTTATCCTTACGTGAATGTGATATCTGAGAGATGACAGCCTAAGCATTAGCAAAAGCACCAGGAAAAAAAATTCAGTTCACCATTGTAAGAAAAAATGCAGAGATTGAAATTCCTTAATAGATGCCTCTTAGAGATTTACTGTTACGGACTTTGACTAAGTATTCCTCTAAAGTTTACATTCTACCCACAGCTTTTATTTAACAAGTCCAAATTGAAGTTGAAGTTGATGCAATGTCAAAAACAATGATTCTCAGCAGGACTCATCTTTAAGTGTATTTATTTATAAATTTTCTGAATGGAGAATAGTTTGAAATTTTGAGAAACTTGAGGCTTAATAGTGAATATAATACTTCTCCTTAAAATTCACTCATTTCTGCTTCTCCTTACCTGACTTACTCTGCTTTAGAACAGCAAAAAAAGAAAAAAGGAAGAAAGAGCTAACTTGTATCCCCGAGAATATATTAGGAGGCAGTAGAAAGAAGGAACACAGCAGTAAAATCTTTAGAGACAGTAAAATGTTAGTTCACATCTTGCTTCCAATACTCACTGACAGTGAATGTGTAAAACTTATCTCTTTAAGACTAAAATTCCTCATCCATAAGAGTGGAGCCCAGGCTTGCGGAGACAATCAAATGAGATAATACACTTAGATCACTTATTACAGTGCCTGCCATTTAGTAAGTGAGAAACGAATACTAGCTATTGATGACATAAAAGAGATTCTGAATTAAATAAATGGATCAATGAAAGTTGGTTCTTACCACGTTCTAGCTGCAGGCCAATTCGGGAAGGGTACCACTTTGGACCTATTCAATGAAAAATAATAAAATTTAATTGTCGGCGCAAGTATAAACACATTTTAAAATCTAGTAGTTTCTATTGTAAGACAGATTATACCTTAAGAACTGGATAAAATGGTTATTCCGTGTCAGAAAAGGAGATAGTTGTTATCCTCTGCAGAGTGCTGATGAGCAATGGTGGATAGTTTTAAAAGAAAGCGTGACTAGAGCTTTAGGAGTCATGATTCTCTGCTTTTTGATCTGGGGACTGGTTACACAGACGTGTTCAATTTGTGGATATACACCATGGTATGTGACCTATGACTTGTGCACTTTATGTAATTATACTTCAATAAAAAGCTTAAACTTCTTCATTTAAAACTGGAGGACTTTGATCTCATTTAAAATTTATAATATTGGCATGTGAAAGTGGGTTATTCTGTATCAGGAGTAAGGCACTCAGAATAATATGTATTATTGACTTTTAATATTGTGGGGGTATTGATCATAGCAGAAACATCACTAGTATCTTCTACTTATACTAATGTTAAGAATAAAAAGTTACTAAAGAATTCTATCTAAATAGGAAAAGAAAAACAGCTTTATTAAATACTGCCATAATAAAAAAGTTGGTTCACAATTACCTGAATATAATTCTTTTCTCTTAAAGTGAATCGTATGTTCTTACTTTAAAGTCTGTTGAAAATTTAATTCTTAACTTTGAGTTCCAATTTTAAGCAAATTGACTTAATAAATAATATATTAAAAGAAGAGTATTGTCAAAGGAATATTCCACAATTGTTATTTTGTTTTCAAAACATTGCTTTTTAAAGTGTCACTAAGAGTGATGATAATGTGACATAATGACTATTGCAACAAATTGTCTCTAAATTTACTGCAAAAAGACAACTTATACATGCAAGTTCTCATGGACAAATAACTCAGAAGTCAAAAAGTGTAATCAGAAGTTAAAAGCTATTTAAGATTATCTCTAAACAAAATTTAGTAATAGCATGGCAAATGATGAAGGCACAAATATTTAATTCTGACATTTGATTTTTTTTAACTAGGAAATATGCAGGTAAAGACAATTAATTTTGTTTTGTTTTTGTATTTACTTATACAATTGTTATATTTACATAGCCATTTGTTGGTCTGGAACGTATTCTGACATTATTTGTTGAAAAATATTTAAAAATAGCTGCACTTATTACTCATAGTGAAAATCTGTTGCCAAAGAAGACATGATGCAAATGAAGGCAATAGAGATTTCTACAGTTTTAATTGAATTTCCAATTATGGGTATTGGAGGAAATACAAACCTTATGAGAATCCATCTGTATTTGACAAATTGTTATTGAGGACCTATAATGAGTGTGCATAAGCTGTCAAATTCTGTCAAATTTAATAATATTCATGTAAGACATCACTTCCAATAGCACTTTATGGTACCTCTGATGGTGGAAATGCCAATATAAAACTAACTCTAGCATTTTAAGCAAATAGATGTGTCTGTGAACTAGATGAGTGAACACTGGCGGAATTCACAATGATGAATCAGAGAAGGTAGAAGCTCTAAACACCTTCAGGGAAATCCATGGCCTTCTAACTCTCTCCACATGGATAAACTATTAATCTACGTATGAAGTAAACTTGGCATCTATAGATTGTGACCTTTGAATACTGTACTAGTGAAAGAGAGTTATTTACTGCCTATATAAGGCTTTAGATTTGTTTTAGTCATCTCTTCAAAGAACAAAACATACATTTGCTGAAATGCTCTGTGCTTGTTGGAGTGAGGTGGATTAGGCTGGAAGAATGACATAAAAAGAGTTAATAAAGGATAAAGAACATATGTTGCATACGGATTTTTAGCATGTATGAGTAGTCCAGAAGATTATTTATAATGCTGAGTACATTGAATTTGGACAACTGGCTCACAGCTGAATTATGACTATGTAGTAGATCTAAGGCATCTGCCAGTATCTTAAATTATCTAAGAAGTTGAACTTGATTAGGATAACTCCTATCATATTCTAACCATGCCTTAGAATTCTTTCCTTGATAATTGGAAGTGTTCATATGATTATGTAATAACATTCTAAATAGCTAATGTCTTTATGTAATTCAATCAGATTTATTTTAATAAGGTAGTGTTTTCCAAACTGCTGGTTGTAACCCATCAGTAAGTTGAAGAATAGAATTAGTGTGTTATTCTCAGCAATATATAGAGGAATACGATAGAATAGATTAGAATAGATAGATTAGAATAGAAATAAATTGAATAGAATAGAGTAGAAATGGATTGTCATGATTGGATACAATATATTGGAATAAATTCTAGATATTGTTCTTTGAACTTTTGCTTCAATAGTTTAAATTGTATAAAAACACTTGTGTTTTTATAAGACTATTATGCATTTCTTATTCTGAATCATAGTCAAAAAAGCTTGAACACCATGGGTCTAAAAACTATAGGAAATGTCAACCAGGGAATGGAATGCTAAATGGAACATATGATGACATGTTTCCTTCGTGTGCACATTGCATCATCACTTTGGTTATACTGCTTTATTAGTTAGTACCATTATATTCTTTCCAAACAGTAGAAGCCTACAAATGTGAACAAAAAGAGCAGGCACATGAATTCTATCTCCTTTTTCCTAAGAAATAAACATCAAGTATTATTATCCAAAACTCTTCCTTGATGGAAGAATGAAGGATCTTCCTTGATGGAAAAATACTGGCTGCTGATTTAATATTGTTAAATGACTCATTCAGTGTTTTACCTCACTAGAACTAAATGAGCCATTTTATTCCCTGTAAAACATTTCTTTGCAGTCTTATAAATGCCACCTACATAATTAAGTGATCAAGCTGAAATGGAATCAAGGAAGCCAGTAAGAAATGACATGCGTGATAGTCCTTATGCATCTGAAAAATAAGAGAACCGTTTCCAATCTTATCTCCAACAACAACAGAAAGTCTTAACACGCAAACCAGCAACCATCAATGTGTGTAATTTTGCTGACCTTGAAAAGAAAATGCATGTTAGAGAGTTCGATGTTACAAAGAGCTCAAGTAAGAAAGACAGAGTGCTGTAACACTGTGTAATCTGCAATCGCAAAGCAAGGCTTCTGTAGGAAAACAGGCATGGTTCCAAAAATAAAAAATTCAAAAGTTACATAAATAAATCTTCAGAATTATAAAATGAGAATGAAAGCAAGAAGCATGAAGCAACAAGCAAATTTCACAGTTGAATACAAGGCATAATGCAAGAATAATGTGGGCCAGGAAGAAGAGCACACAGGTACAATCAAATTCCTTTATCCTCACTGGTTCAAGTTTATAAGCAATTTGTTCACCCAATCACCCACTGAACTTCTAAGAAACTACCAGGCTTGATGATCATGCCTATATTTCCATTTACACTAGACACTTTTAGCTGTTCAAGTCTCCCAGAGTGTCCACCATCACAATGTCACTTCTCCCAGTTTTGCTGTGTACAACTTCTAATCAGACCTGATTGCCTACCTCTCCATGCCTTCTCAGGTTCCCCCAGTGTACTTTAGGACACTCATAATTTGTCATCAGCAAAAACTTCTAAATCATCAACTCCCACACCAAAAATCCCTCAAGCTTCTTGCTTTAATATAAAACTTCTCTACATATTTTTCAACTGGTGTTCATTCTTTACACCAAATTGACCCAACTGTGGTCATGAAAGTGTGATAAGAATCCTCCTTGCTATTAGATGCTGCTTCCAAAACATTTTTTCTCCATTCTCCTTGTGGAGTGCATATCACCAGACTATACTATCTAATATTATTTGTTCTTGTTGCCATCTATGGTGGACTGGTCTTTCCACCTAAATCAGTGATAATTTTAGCTAAGAAATCCTCTCCACCACTACTCATCTATCATTGTTGGTGATTTTAATATCATTTTAATTTCGTGTCCTTTCGTTCCACGATCTAGCCAAATCCAAATATTTTCTAGCTACTCTCTCACTTTTTCCCAGAGTCTTATGCTCACCAATAAATGCACCACCTTGAAAATACCAATTTCAAACATCCTACTTTCTCATCACTAACATCTTTTCTCCCTATTAACTTAAACTAGTATTTCTGGCTCAAATATTCTTTGATTCTTCAAGGATTTTCCAACAATTATCCCACTATTTTCACAATGTTAAGTTTCTTATTTCTCCAACATTTTCATTCTTCTCTAAGCTCAATTCTAGGATCCAAAGCAGTTATCACACCTTAATCAATGATCTTCACTACTTTGTAAAATTTTCCCTCTGCCTCACTACTTGGCAAATATTAAACCTTGTTATACTCAACTATTTCATTCTCTGTGTCTGAATCTGTTTCTGAACGACTTCTGTACAGGGAGAATTTCCCTGATACTATCAGATGCACCAGATCTCAGTATTACTTTCCAGTTGCTTTTAACCCATTACCCTGTTTTTGATCTTCCTATCTGAAATTATTTTATGCACCTATTAAGATGTTTAGTATACATACATCCTTACTGTTGAGCAACCTCCATGAGAAGAGGTAGTCATGATCATATTTATTATCACTATATATGCAGTGATAGGAATGGCACAGAGGAATGTGTGGTTTTCTAAGATTTGAATAAACAAATAGCCTCTTATTGAAGAAGAGTTGGTAGAAGTCATACATACACCATGGTTTTAATCAAATGTGAGATGTTATTTATAATAAATTCTTTCCCTATATAAAGAATCAGTGTTTTATTGCTAGTTAACTGCAAAGTTTGTGGACATTGACTGTCTGAGCTTAAATCCTGGGACCATAATCTACTAGTTGCCTTATTTATTTTGGGCAAGTTACCTATTTGAATCTTATTTTCCTCATCTGTTAAGCAAAATAGTTAATTAAAAAAAGGATATATAACAAAGGTATCTAACCCTTAGGGATGTTGTAAGACTTAAATGAGATAATGCATGCAAACTACCAAAAGCTACTAAGACCTAATTAAATACGTATTATTAACGT